AGGAGTGAGCTCCCGTTACTTTATCCCAGCTTCTGCCAACCTAGCAGTTCAAAAGCACGTAAAAAATGCAAGTAGAAAAATAGGGACCACCTTTGGTGGGAAGGTAACAGCGTTCCGTGCACCTTTGGCGTTTAGTTATGCCGGCCACATGACCAGGGAGATGTCTTTGGACAGCTCTGGCTCTTCGGCTTTGAAACAGATGAGCACCGCCCCCTAGAGTTGGGAACAACTAGCACATATGTGCAAGGGAAAACTTTACCTTTTAATTTTAACATATTGTGAAGTTAATGTGCATACTTCTATTCAAGCTAAATATGAAAATAATTTATGTCCTAATTGTTTCTCTTGAGTACATTTAAATATTGAGATATTTTTCTGCAGATGTATCTTTGGTGCCATATTATATAAACTATTCTGCCTGAAACTGTGTGTACATTTTAATAATTCTAATAAATCAGTTTCCTAAATCTGTATAAAAGCTGAGGACTAGTTCAGAAACTTGCCCCTTTTTGTGTAAGTTAGATGTGGTAGATACAGAGTACAATTAAGCCTATTCCCATATTATTGTTTAGAGAATTAAGATTAATATTACAAGTATTCAAGGCATATACTACCATAGTTTTGTTATAGATTAGCTGCATTTTGTCTTATTTGAATCCTAAATTGATTAATAGGTTAATGGAAACAATTTAAAAGTTATGTTTCAAATTCAGTTTTTGGCTTACTTATTAATTGCTAAGACTAACCCTGGTTAGTCTTGCTTCATTTCAGACAGTATAGAGAATTTTGACTTAGCTACACCGAATACAAAAGATTCAGTTCTTTCACAGCTGTGCCAGAGGAGGGAGTATATGAGTTTATTTTGACACCAGCATTCAGCCCTATATTTCATACTATCCAATAAAACTGATGGCTAGCTATCAGGTTCTGGTGTACCTGTCTTCTAGTAAAGGCTGCTAAATTTTCATTCTCTCCGTCCCTCTCCTCCAGTATTTATTTCCTTGCCAGCCTAAGAAGCAATAGGAAAAAAGATGCCCAATGATCATTTCCTAACAAAATCAAAAGTTTAAAAAAATAAAAGGGCACAATCCTTTTTGAAAGAGGTCAGCCAGATAAAGACATCTTTGTTATATATGATAAAAATAAACACATCACTCCAGATATGTTATATATCACTCCAGTAGTACATACATATTATACAGTATATATTTGTATCAAGTATGGAAAAGACATTGGTTTGGCAACCAAATGTAGGTTAGTCTACACCAGGAGTGTCAAACTGGCAGCCCTTGGGCCAGATGCATCATGCTCAGACCACACTCACCCCAGCTCCACAAAGGGGGAAAACATTGCAATTTGTCATGTGATGGCAAATTTTGGGTTCAATTCTGGTTGTAAATAAAGGACTATCTGTATTGTGTTATTTATGGCTACCTATAGTTGTGAAAGTTGGACCATGAAAAAAACAGATGGGAGCAAAATCTATTTAAGCTGTGGTGTTGCAGAGAGCTCATTCCTTGAACCACAAAAATGACACATACTGGAGTGTATAAATCCGTGCATGTTGCTGGGAGGCAAAATCACTAAATTTTGGTTTATTTCAACCATGCCAGAGGTGGGTTCCTCACGGTACAGTACGGTATGGCAGAAGAGGTAGTGAAAATCTGGCTGACTGGACCAGACCGGTAGCGATGGCCAGGCCCCACCCCTGTACCGGTGAAAGAAAGAATACCCTACCATCCCGGAACTGTGCAGCGAGTTGGGTCTTGGGAGAGACCTTCCCTCCCCCTTCAGAGAGCCTGTGTGGGGAGAGAGGCTGGCCCCAAAGCACCTGCCCTCGTTCAAAGCAGCCCGCCTCCCCTCTGCCCACATGGGCTCTCTGGAAGGGGAGGGAAGGTCCCTCCCCAGACCGGCTTTCCTTCCCTTCAGCATCAATCCATAGGGGGAGGGCATGGACTGTTTGGCGGCAGCAGGAAAAAGGAGGCTTCCTTGCCAACCTCCCAGCTGGTAAAACAAATTTTTGCCAACTGGAAGGGATGTATGTGTATGAGATGGGGGGGAGAGAGAAAGAGAGAAGGAAAGAGGAAGGTAGGAAGGGAGAGAGAGAAAAAAGACAGAAAGAAAGGAAAGAAAGGGAGAGAGACACTAAAGAAAAAAAGAAAGAAAGTGGGAGAGGGAGACACAAGAATAAGAAAATGAGAGAAAGAAAGAAAAAGAAAAGAAAGAGAACTTATGATCGCATTTGAGCCCGAAATTTTGGTTGCTAAGCAAGAGTGTTGTTAAGTGAGTTTCACCACATTTTACAAGTTGGCCACGCTTACCCGGTTACATGACCACCAAGCCACACCCACAAAATAGACCATGCCCCCAGACAGGTAGTAAAAATTTTTGAAACCCACCCCTGAGCCATGCCATATGCTCTAATTCATTGGAAAAGGCAGTTATGTTCATAATGGTTGGTGATATAAGGAAACAAGGCTACCAAATACATGTTGGCTAGATATCATCAAAGCCAATGAGCTAGCTAGAGCCTAAAATGGGTCAACAACCCATGGCTCTGGAACCGCATGTGGTTCTTTCATCCCTCTGCTACAGGGTT